ATCAGAATTGCTATATAATAGGGCAGGGTGGAAAAAACATGGGCACCGTGAAGCAGCAATTCCTTTCCACATTCTCTTCTCTGTTCCTGAAGAGAATAGAGGGGCAGGAAGAGGAGGAAATCAGGGAAGTTTACTGTAAATATTAGATTATATTTCTAAGGGTCCCTTTTGTGCCTACTGACCAATTGATTCTCTCCAAGCTACCCTCAAATCCATCCTCAATACTGCCACCACAATGAGCCTCGTACCTGTAACTAAACCTATTATTAGTACCTGTACTCCTCGTACCTATTACCTCGTACCTGTAACTAAACCTATTATTCCTATGTTCAAAGCACACAGTTGCCTTCACCTGGAATGTCCTCTCCTCCATCCTCCATTTGTAATTCCTACCCAGCCTTCACCTCCCTTCCACCCCGGCACCCAGGCTACCAAGGCTCCTGCCTGGGCTACTGTGCTTTTAGATGGCCCTGCTCTGGCCCTCCTCCAGCACCTACCTGGCCTCTATGTTCCACTTTCTAGAGCATACTCTGGGAATCTGGGACCCCTGAGTTTCCATTTCTCTTCACACATTCCCGAGCCCATTTTCATGGCCTGTATAAGGGTCTTCCTTAGGTCCATGTGGTCTGGGAGTTCATGTCATGTACACAAGGCCCTTCACAGAACAAGACAGAGCTAGGGGGTAGGGAAAGAATGGGATGGGGATGGGCCAGGAGTCCTCATTTGTACCCTTGTCCTAGGCCCCACAAATGGCAGAGACAGCCTTTCTTCAAGGCTTAGTTTAAATGCCATACTCCCATGAGTAACGTTTGATCCTCCAGCTAAAATCTTTTGCTTCTCTGTTTCTTTCTTTCTTTTCTTTTTTCTTTTTTTGAGTCAGAGTCTCACTCTGTTGTCCGGGCTAGAGTGCCGTGGCGTCAGCCTAGCTCACGGCAACTTCAAACTCCTGGGCTCAAGTAATCCTCCTGCCTCAGCCTCCCAAGTAGCTGGGACTATAGGCATGAGCCACCATGCCCGGCTAATTTTTTCTATATATTTTTAGTTGGCCAATTAATTTCTTTCTATTTTTAGTAGAGACAGGATCTCACTCTTGCTCAGACTGGTTTTGAACTCCTGACCTTGAGTTGTTTGCCCGCCTTGACCTCCCAGAGTGCTAGGATTGCTTCTCTATTTCTAAGTCTAATTTAACACTGTCTGGAATTCAGGACTATCTTGTATTTAATCATGTTGTCGTGTCCTCTCCCTTCCAATTGCTGTTAGCTCCTTGAAGGCAGATACAGAGCTTTCCTCACCTTCCCCCAGCTCTCCCCAGAACCTAGTAATTCACACAACACCTTTTGTATTTATAATAAAACTGTATTGGTTTGTTTGGGTGGGGATTAGAGGGTGGGGCGTGACAAATAACCCAGAAATCTCAGTGGCTTACAACAATAAAGATTTATTTCTTACTCATATTACATGAGGGCTGTGGTTGGCTGCAGGTTTGCTCCATGTCATGCAGACTTCGAGAGAGACCCCAAACATGACTGAGCCCAACCAGTAATCACTCTTAAAGCTTCTGCTCTATCATGGCAAACATTAGGTCTGCCTGCAGTCCATTGGCTGACGCAAGTCGCATGGCCACACCTGGCAATAGGGCAGGGAAGTGTATTCCCTCTACCTACAAGGAGGCACTGCCAATCACATGGCAGTTGGTGGGGCTATATAACTTTCTCCCAGGGAAGAGAGCCAGAAGTTGTTTTGACCACAATAAAATTCACAATATACTGACCACATGCTAGGCAGTGCTAACTGCTTCACCTGTTTTTTTCTCATTTAATCCTCACAGTCCTATCATTGCCCCCATTTTACAGATGAAGAAACTGAGACATAGAGAAGTTATGTAATTTGCCCAGGATTATACAAGTGAATAGATGAGGAATTTCAACCTGGGTAATGCAACTAACTCCAAAACCCTTTGCTCTTATTCACAAAGCTACAATGCACTTGTGAATTTATTGTGCCAAATCCTATAATAGTTCTTTCAGAGAGAGTGATGCCTAGAAGTTCATTACTTTTCATTCATCAATTAACCAACACTTGATGAGCACCTGTTCACTGGGAATAGGGTCAGGCGGGGAAGAGGCAGACAAGATACATAAGTATTAATGTTACTGAGTGGAGATGAGGGCTAAGAAGAATAAAGCAGGCAGAAGGATGAAGAGTCTGTGTGTGTGAAGGTACAATTTTAGATATTGTGATCAAAGACTTCACTGAGAAGGTGACATTTGAGGAAAGACCTGAAGAATGTGAGCTCCTTGAGGGCAGGGACTCGCATCTGTTTTGTTTGAAGTTGTGTCCCCAGTGCCTAGAACAGGGCCTAGATCATGTAGGCACTCAGTACTAACGCCTTGAATGGATGGAAAGGAAGTCAGGGAGGGAGTTCTATGAAGAGCTTGGAGGAAGAGCGTTTTCGGCAGAGGAAACAGTGCAAAGGCCATGAGGCAGGAGGGTGTCTGATGTGCTCCCTAAACGGCAGAGGCCAGCGTGGCTGGAGCTGAGTGAACCCCTGGAAGAGAAGAGACAGACAGGTCAGAGGGATAAAGGGTATCCTGGGGGGCCATTAAAGGCTTCAGCTTAATTCTGTCTGGATTGGAGAGCTACTGAAGGGTTTTAAGCAGAGAAGGGATGGGAATCTGTCTTGTGTTTTCATAGGATCGTTCTGGGAGATGTGTGAGCACGGACAGGAGGCGGCAAGTGCAGAAGCAGGAAGACCAATTAGGAGGCGCCTCCCTCACTGAAATCCCAGGTCCTGTTCGGGCACTGTGGAAACTGAGATGAGCAAATCCAGGGATCTGTCCAGTGCCGCGATTGTCAAATTTGGCCATGCGTCTTAATTTCCTGCGGTACTCAGTAAAAAAAAAAAAATACAGATTCTGGACCACACTCCCCAAAACTCCAGATTTAGCAGGACTGAGTTGTGGGTGTTGATATCTCAGCTCGTGATTCTGAAATAAGTGGCTGTTGCTCTACAGCTGGAGGCTCATCGGGGCTTAAATAAACATCCGATGAATTAACGATGGGTACGGACTTGACCCAGTTTGTCTACGTTGGGAAAGGACAAGCGACACCCCAGCCTAGGTGGGGGTGTCTCCCTCCTCACCTGCTCCCATTCCGGGTCACAGGGGAGGGCTGGTCCCAGGAAGCCAGGGCGCAGGGCGTGGGGAGGAAGCCGCGGGAGTCCCCGACGGGAAGGGGCCCCCTGGTCCCGCCAGACAAAGGGCGGCTTCCTATAAAGGCGGCGGCGCGGCGCCCAGGCGAGGGCGCACACGGCCAGCAACGACTCGGCGGCGGCGACGGCGCGGGCTCTGGCGAAGAGGTGCGTGCACTCGCGGGGACGCGGGCGCCACCCGGGCTGGGCTGTGGGCTGTTGTAGGCTCGCGGGGCTCTGCCTCAGCCCCCCAAGTCTGGAACACACTCGCCCCGGAGAACAGGCGTGTGGCAGCGACTTGGTAGCAGCCACCAAGGCGACTCAGAGGGAAGACCTGGGGACTTTTTGTGGGGTGGAGGCGGTGGCACGACTCCTGGGGCGCCAGGCCACCCCGCTAGCGTGTTGGCGGGGCCGCTTGGCTTTCATATATGATCCTGGGAACCCCGTGTCCCCTCTCTCCCCAGTGCGTTGCCCCCGAAGCCGCTCTAGATAGTTCTTGCGTCTTCGTGAACGTCTCCAGGACACCTGGCAGATGCGAAACTTCAGCCACGAGATGCTTTCCTGGACTCCTGAAATACTTATTCGTTCGGCAGCGCCGTAGTTTGCAAGGGAGAGCAAAAGGTGTTGTAAGAGGAAAAACCTGAAAGCCTAGAAGTGAAGCAGGCAGAAGCTTGTGCTGGATGGGCAGGGTGCTGGAGGTGCACGCAGGCTTGGGGGTGCAGGTGTTGAGCGCACCTTAGACCAGGTGGCTCCCCCAGTGTGAGGCTTGGACAAACCACCCCCACTTCCAAAGAACGGTATTCATTTCATATATCAACATGCAGAGTTGCCTAAGTGAGAAAAGTAACTCATATAATAGCGTGTATAGTGATTTTTAATGGTAGGGGTGTCTGTGCGTGTGTGTGTGTGTGTGTGTGTGACATGCACGAAACTGTGACTGGGAAGTGAGCTCGAGTAGGCAAACAGGTAGGGAGCCTTTTATGTTTTATTTTATGCACTTGTGTACTGCTTGAATTTTTTTTTCTTAAATGAACATGTGTTACTTCTATAATAATTTCAAAAGGTGGAGCTGTGTCTAGTCTTGGAGGTTATTAGCACCTTCTTCCAGTCTAACTATATACACCACGCCCTTCAGCTCTCCCTTTCTGGCAAGTGCTTTCGCTTACTTTCAAGAGAAAGATGAAAGAAGAGACAAATGCTTGGGACGAAATGCCAGGAAGAGAAATTTAAAGCTGGTGAAAAAAGAGCTGTGCGAGTTTGATGGGGGGCGGGGGGGAAGGCCCCATGTGAATGTTAGCCCTGAGCTGGGCTGTATCCTTTCTAGTTGACCTGGGCTTTGTGTCACGCAACTCCTGGCACAAAAGAGTAGCAGCTCCGGTTGGGGTCATTGGTCGCCTTCTTGGGGGCATAATTGTTCTCCTTTTCTCTGGTAAAGTGTTCCCTTCAGTGGGAACAATACAGAGAAGTCTGTGCACATCTGTATTCCTGCTGTGTTTACCATGGCTTTCCTCCAGCTCAGGCATTCTTATCCTGGGGTGCATAACCCCCACCCACCCAAGGATATGTAGGTAGCGTTCAGGGGTTCTATGCATTTGGGTGGGGAAAAATTACATCTTTATGTCTACTAAACTTTAAAGGTAACATTTCCTTTATTTATAAACGTAGGTAAGGACTGGGTAGTGGGTAGTGGGTAGTATTAGCAGTGGTGGTGAATTTGTCACCAATAGAAATCATAGATATTTGCATCCCATGTCACAGATGTTGCAGATCTATTGAAAAAATCATTTACATATCACTTCCTAGAGATTATGGTAATAAGTCTAGTTAATGTGTTAAAAATGAACCACATGTAGTACTGTACTGCATTTTAAATTTTTTTAATAACTACTAGATATAATTGGCTATGTATTTCAGTTTATGCATTTGAAATTGTTCAGTTCTTTGCCTACGTATTTCAGTTTATGCATTTGAAATTGTTGTTCCGAGAAGGGAACCAAAGCCCTTTTACTTTATTTAAAATCAATGTTCTGAAAAGGAATCCATCCCTAGGCTTCCCCAGACTGCCAAAAGGTTCCATGACACAAAAAAGGTTATGAACCCTGACCCAGCAGGAGTCCTCAATGGTGACGTAAATGCATAATTACCCAGGCGTGGGGTGCAGGCTTTGCCACCAAGTCCCGGTGTGGTCTAAATGCTTCACTTCTGTTTTAGGATCTGTCAGTTGTTCTCTGATTCTGTAGAATCTAGTGCATTTTTTTTTAGCTCTTACAATTACTCTGAAATCCAGATTAGCAGTAATCAGTCCTTGCAACTGGAAAAACACTAATGCAATTTTCTTTTGATTTAATAAGTACTTCAGTAATTTTCTAGTGACCTCTACTTTGAGCTTTTCTAGCTTGTTAAATCGCTGATTTTTATTCCCCTCTGTGAAGAAGAAGAAGAGAGTAACACACTTGAGGATAAATCAACAAGGAATTATTAAGCACCTCCTGGGATGGCGGGCTATGTTTTAGAAGCTAGTCTTCTCTGTTTCTTCTGTCTGCTTCTGGTACAATAGGATAGAGCCCTCTCAGAAGAGAACACCACAGTTAGTTTATCCTGCCTAATCTTTTTTCCCTCCAGTTTGTAAAAGACCCCCTGTGGGATCAGAGTTGACTTAGTGAATGAGCTAAAACCTCTTTTGACAAGAGAAGCTTGAAAGTAACTTTGTGCCCACAGTCCTGGCCAGAGTCAGTGTGAACAAAACTTGGTAGTTCTCTTTCTATCTTAAAAATCTCCTTGATTCAGATTTAAACTTTCATACTTCAGGTATAGTTGGGTACAGTTCTGACAACACTCCTGTTTTCATTGTAGAACCCAAAGCCAGATTATTCAGAAATGACTTAGGTTAGATAAAAGGCAATGGATAGGGCATTGTGGCATTTCAGAGCAGAAAAACGCCTTGGGGAGCACCTGGTCCACCCCCTTCCGTCTTGGAAGGAGACACGGTCTGCCTGGGAGCCCACTAGAGTGCCCAGTTAGGTGCTGTTTCTTTGCTCCTGCAGTCCCTGTGTTTCCCTGTCACATGCCGACACAGGCAGCCAGCTACTCAGTATTCAGCAGCCAGCACAGTACCTGGTGCATAGTGTTGGTAAGTGTTGGTGCCAAGGATCATGGTCTAACTGGGAGTGTCTCCAGGGAGAGAGGAAGTGGGCCTGAGTGGCTGGTGGAGGGGACAAGGAGCCACTCAGTGACTTTGGGCTGCTGTGCTTCCAGCTTACCATGGGGTTCTCAGCACAGCACTGGACTCTCCAACCCAGACACAAACAGGAAAGGCAACAAGAAAAGAACGAGGCATACAGATGGTTGAAAATGCTGTTCTTTGCAGTGATGGTGCTTCCCATCTGTATAGGAAAGAAAATGCTGGCATGGATTTAGCACTTATGTGCCAGGTGCTTTGTATTGCATCTCATGTAATCCTCACAAGAGCCCCGCTGATGCCCTTATCTCCATTTGCCAGAGAAGAAAACCAAGGCTTAAAGAAGTTAGCGGATTTTCAGAATCATATAACTAGGAAATCGAGAGCAAAGATGCAAAGCTAGGTGTTTCTGCTTTAAAACCCATAAACATGTAAAAAAAAAAAGTCTATTGTGAAATAAATAATACAGAGATACTTTCTTATGAAACTCTAAGGCAATACCAAAGTATATGGAATAAAACATGCAAGTCTCCCTTTTCTATCCTTTCCCCACCCACTGTCCTCCGCCAAGGAACCACTATTGACCATTAGGCCAGAATCCCTCCAGATATTTTGCTCTGCATCTACACACATGTGGGTGTCTATATATACTCCTGTAAAGTGGAACAAATGACGTGTAAATAGAACTGAGACCTTTTCTACTACAGCTTCTTCATTAGGAAAACAATTACAAATTACAACCATCATTTACTTTTCTCTGTTTTATTTATGAAATAATAACTGTAATTCTTTAATATTTATTGTGCATGTACTGTGTGCCACGCACTGAGCTTAGGTGCTTTACAGTATCATTGTACATGTCTTCACAATGATGCAGTGAAGTAGCACCCTGAGTTGCCCTTTCCTGATGAAGCATTTGAAGCACAGAGAGGTTAGGTAGATTTCTCAAGATCACAGAGCTAAGAGAAATAGAACCAAAAGCCAAACCAGGGTTCTGAAAGGCTGAAGGGTGTTACTCTCATCCTGTCCTTTCTTCTGCCACTTTTCTTTTCTTTTCTTTCTTTCTTTCTTTCTTTCTTTCTTTCTTTCTTTCTTTCTTTCTTTCTTTCTTTCTTTCTTTCTTCTTTCTCTCTCTCTCTCTTTCTTCTTTCTTTCTCCCTCTCTTTCTCTCTTTTCTTTCTTTCTTTCTTTCTTTCTTTCTTTCTTTCTTTCTTTCTTTCTCTTTTCTTTCTTTCTTTCTTTCTTTCTTTCTTTCTTTCTTTCTTTCTTTCTTTCTTTCTTTCTTTCTTTCTTTCTTTCTTTCTTTTCTTTCCTTCCTTCCTTCCTTTCTTTTGACAGAGTTTTGCTCTGTTGCCTGGCCTAGAGTGCCGTGGCGTCAGCCTAGCTTGCAGCAACCTCAAACTCCTGGGCTCAAGCGATCCTCCTGCCTCAGCCTCCTGAGCCTGGCTAATTTTTTCTATTTTAGTTGCCCAGCTAATTTTTTTTTTCTATTTCTTAGTAGAGATAGGGTCTCGCTCTTGTTCAGCTGGTCTCGAACTCCTGACCTCAAGTGATCCTCCCACCTTGGCCTCCTAGAGTGTTAGGATTGTAAGTGTGAGCCACTGTGCCCAGCCTGCCACATTTTCTTTTCTTACCAAAAGGAAGATTCAAAAAACCTGAAAATGAGAAAATGAATTTCCTAAAATCTGGGTGCAAAAAAATCTAACTTCTCAGGTACTTGGCAGAAGATGTGATACCAACCAGGCCCCTTATAAGGTATTGGCCCTCGGGGCCCTTTCTCTTTCCAGTCTCAGGAACTCAGACATGACCAGGAAGATCTTCACAAACACCAGGGAGCGATGGAGGCAGCAGAATGTCAACAGTGCCTTTGCCAAGCTGAGGAAGCTCATCCCCACTCACCCTCCAGACAAAAAGCTGAGCAAAAATGAAACGCTTCGCCTGGCAATGAGGTACATCAATTTCCTGGTCAAGGTCCTGGGGGAGCAAAGCCTGCAGCAAGCAGGAGTGGCTGCTCAGGGCAACATTCTGGGACTCTTCCCCCAAGGACCCCACCTGCTGGGCCTGGAGGACAGGACTCTACTTGAGGACTACCAGGTTCCTTCACCTGGCCCCAGCCATCCGTAGCGTGGCCCTCACAGTCGTCACCCAGGGCTGCACTCGCTCGGAAGTCACTGGCTGTGGACAGCCCTTTGCATGTTCCAGAGTCAACTTGATGCATAATGTGCAAGGCATGAATTTAAGCTTCATAGACAGTGGCTCGGGGACAGCTGCAGGGTCACCAAGGGAGGCCATGAGGACTGTCACTTCGGAGTCCATCTCCCCTGTGCACGGCTTCAGGCAGAGCAGTCTGCCTCTGTCTGTTTTTCATGAATCCAGGTTCTACATAAGATTTTTTGGGGAAAAAATTGTTATTTAAAAAAAGTTTTGAAAATCACAGTTTACTCAATGTCTTCAGTTATAAGAAGAGAGTTTTCTCATGATGGATCTCAGAAGAATGAGGGGAATATGCTTCCCTCAGAGCATGTTTTAAAGTTTATTTTGAAAAATGAGACATATTTGGTCAAGGATGAACAAAATCAATCTTAAAATTGATGAGTGAAAAAATAGCCCCTGGGGAAACCATCCTGGAAGACTGGTGGGAAAATCTGTGGAGAAAAGACTCTCCTGAGTGTGGGGGTTCCAGGAATGCAGCAGATCCGTGCGGAAGAGCTCTGCGTCCTTTAAACTCTGTGGAAATGTGAGGTGTGACGCCTATGGAACCATCTGTACATATGTTAACTCCAAAGCCAAATACTGGGTTACATCTGTGAGAGAAAAGGACTTGACAATTGATGAGTTGGAATTCATAGTTTTCTTCTGAAAAACAGCTAAAATAAGTTAGCTAACCCCTTCGTTTCACATGTCAGGTATTAAAACTTTTCACTCAGCCTGAGCTCCTGCTGATTTAAGACCTGTAAAATTCAATTATAATTGTGAACAACCAAACATTACCATTTACGACTCATTTAACAGACAGTTTAAACAAAACATTTACGGCAAACAATAGAAACGTAATCCCAGACTCTAATGAACTAATGAATGTATAATTTGTCTTCTTTGCTATGGAGCATTAGCTCAATCTTATACTGGGAGAGGTGGTACCCAACAAGTCAATCAAACACCGTGAGTCTACCAGAACCCATCTCCACATGCCACCCTCACGACGCTGGGATTCAAAGATAGATCCCATAGCTGAACCCAGAATACAAATAATGTAGTTTGATTATCTTTGGAACATTTTATTTCCCTGAAGTTCTTGACAGTACATTGGTTTTAAAACCTTCTGAACTACAGGTAGGAAATTGATGGATTTGAGATTAGGGATTTCCCGTGTACACATAGTAGAGGAATTTAAATTTCCTGCCACTCAGAAAGAATTTACTTATGAAAGGTTGAAATGAGCCTCCTTGATCTGGTGGTCAGAAGAAAGCTGAGTGAGACTCTCTCACAATCTCATTCCCCCAAAATAGCAAGATCATTATGTTATTAAACTCTATACAGCATTTGTACTTGTAAAACAATGCATTTCTTTGAACCAATAAATTTTCCTTCTGGGTCCTTTATTTAAACTGCATTTGGTAAACTTCCCATTGGACTCAGCATAGTCTGGGAAACACAGAAGCAGAAAGACGGGAGGATTTCCTCTTGAATGTGTGTTTCATTCTCACCAGTTACGTGGGCACAAGCTTGCCCCCAAATTACCAGGTGAAAGTACATTGCTGTAGTGCAGTGGTGCAATCACAGTTCACTGCAACCCCCAACTCCTGGGCTCAAGCGATCCTCCTGCTTCGGCCTCTTGAGTAGCTGGGACTACAGGCGCACACCACCATGCCCAGCTAATTTTTTAAAAAAAATTTTATAGAAACAGGATCTCACTGTTGCCCAGGCTGGCCTCAAGCAATCCTCCCAAAGAGCTGAGATTACAGGCGTGAGCCACTGTGCCCAGCCCCTTTCAAAGTTTTGATGACAGTTGTCAGTTAACATCACTTTCTCTCATCTGTCATTAAATCAAAACAACACCTTTTATAGTATTTTTATATTAGCTTCATTTTAACTTGTTGCTGAAGAAAGCACAGAGTACCTTTTTGCCTGAATACAGGATTGTGCTGCTCTACCCAGAGTGAGTCTACTCTTCTGCTACTGGGCCTGTGGTCTGTGTGCCCAAAGAGGACTTTCCACTGCAGTGTCACAGGGGGCTTCTGACAAGGCATGAGGAGATAAGTTGCCATTAAACCGCATGAGGGGGATTATTATTTAAAGGAATCCTTTCAGGAAATCCCATCATAAATGAACAAACCTTTAAAATGCCACTTTATATAATTCACCTCTTCAATTATTTCTTTTGCCTCCTTGGATTTTTTGCATATCAAGTTGTGTTGGTTAAAGTAACTGTCAAAAGGAAATCTAGTCACCTGTGGACCAAAACTTTGACAAGGTATCCATGAGACTGGAAGTAATTAAAAAGTCATGCTAGAGTCTTCTCTGGTGTCCTATATTTAAGACTTGGTGACTGCAATAGTAAGAATTTATGGTTCAAATGTATTGTAGTTCACTGGATGTTACATCTGTTTGTGGATCATTGGAGCTCAACAGAAGAATTTAGACAAGGGTACTTAACCTACGCTACTCTGTTACTTGAACAAAAGAAAGTGCTATGGATACTACTGGAAACTTCTAGAAACCAGGTATAAACAGGTCTATTGATTAATATAAATCATTTGATGGGCTAATTCCACTCCCTCATTTTACAGAGGAGAAAACATGTCCAGAGGGTTTTGAAGTGACTTTTCAGAGGTTACATGGACAGTTAATGGAAACCCAGGACACAGAGCCATGTCTCCTGACCCTGTGCCCAGCCTTTCTACAGCTCTGTTCAGCCGCCAAGTATTTGAAAATGAACAAGCGCCTTATCATTAGTCTCCTCTCTTTTCAGTGGCGCTTGGTAATCTTCACATGCCTTTTATTGAAATTGAATTATTGTGCTTTGTAGAATGTGATTGGGTATATCAACCAAAGATTTTATTTATTGATGTGTTTTGTGAGTTTTTAGCCCTTGTTTATAATTTGCTATTTAACTATTAACTTATTTGTGAATAAATTATTTAAGAAAAGAAATTGTCCTTTTGTTTTAAAGAAAAACTTCATAAATTTACTAAGCACCTTCACCCCTTCTCTCCATCTTTGCAGCCACTGTCCTGGCTTTGATACCCCCACACCCCTGTGTCTTTAGTCTAGAAAAAAAAAATCCAGCACCACCTGAAATCAATCTTTGCCCCCTCCTTTACATCACCTTTCACACAGCTCCCTAATGGTCCTTCTCGAATCTCATCTGTGGTCTGATCACTTCTCTGCCACCAAACCTTCAGTATCTTGTCCTCCAGTTTGAGATAAATGTCACACCCTAGGAAACCAGGCCCTCTGCAGCCCGGCCCCAACGTGCCCTTCCCTCTCCCTTCCACAATGCCGACACGTATCGTCGTACATGCCAACGAAACTACTTCATCTAGCAATCTCCAAACATGACCACTCTTTTCTACTTTTGACTTTACTCTTGTGATTCCAAATGCTTGGGTACATGTTCCCATTATCACTCATTCTACTCCCCACCCCCTCACACCTGTGCCAGTTCCACTTGCCAACATCCTTCATGGCTGATTTTAAACACCATCTCTTACATGAAGTTCTCCTACATTTCCACTACTCCATCTAATCTCTCCTTTCTTAGAATCCCCTTATGTGTCTTATATCCCTTAATTTCTTCTACCGTGTGTTATAGACATCTGTGTGGGTTCTATTTCCTTCAAAAAGCTAAAATCTGCTTGAGTTCAGGGACAATTTTTAAAACTTAATCCTCACAACAGCACTGCAAGTGACCCCCACTTTCAAAGTGTGAAAATTTCATCAAGACTGGCTGTGTTATAAATACTCATTTAGCCTCCTCTAAAAGATGACATTGAAATGAAACTTGAACAGGCTGAATTTTTCTGAGAAACCCAATGTCGAATGCTCTTCTTAAAAATTTGTTTCTCATAATTTCCATTCAAGAATACTCCTCGCAGCACCTGCCTTGAGAGGTTTCATCACCTAAGAATGGCTTGAGTTGGCCAAAATAAGTATAAGTTATGCACGACTGGCTTTGTCCTTAAAAAGGCAAAAGATGAAAGGGGTCCGGGAGAATGGACAGCTTAACTGCTGACCCACAGGCCAAAGGTTAGTCAAAAGTCACATCCTGAAATAAAAAGGTCAAAGATAAGGAGGGAATCTGAAAGTCCAATGGCAATGCAAAGTGAGGGATTTAAAGGGCAGGTGTTAGGAATGCCAAGGAATGAATGTAGTTAAAAGACTATAGAAGGCCCAGGGCGAGGTCTCCTGAGCCACACTTCCACTTCTGAGTCTGTTGGAGTTTACCCGGCAACTCTCCGTTTTATTTTCTCTTGGTTGCTAATGGCCCATCACAAAGAGATTTTGAAGAGCACTAGATTTTTATATAAACCTTAGGTTTATAGTCTACCAACTAGCATTTATTCTTAAGAATTTAATTTCCGGTGCTCAAGAATTCCCTGGTAGTCTAACAAAGCAAGCTGTTGAATTGCCTTTATGGGATAACTTTAAAAAACAGGAAACAGAATGTAGTCAATATATTCATCCACTCAGACCTAAGTAAGTATCCTTCTGGGAAACTATCATAAAGAAATAATCAGAATTATGGTCGAAGAATTATGTGCATAAGTATCTATTTCAGAATTACTCACAATATACATAAAATCATAATATTAAAAGCCAAGATTGGCTGAGTGCTTACGGCATTCCAAGCATTGTGCCAAGAGCTTCCGGTGTATCAGCTGGTCTAATTGCAACAATATTATATTGTTAATATAACATTAATTATGTTAGTTATATGTATCTATCATACGAATATTATTGTTCTCATTTCACAGATGAGGAAACTGAAGTGCGGAAGGTTATCTAATTGCTGAGATTTCCTCTGCAGGGCCAGAATTTGATCCTTGGTTGTTTTTACACAGAATCACTGCATTAGGTAAAGTCAGGGTAGCTTTTTACAGATAGCTTTTATTTATTTATTTATTTTCACATCAGGGATCTTTATTCTTTCTGATCCTTGCACATATACCTCATGGATCCAGGTATATTACCTAATAACACTATGGGGCAAACAAATGTAACCTCTAAAAAAAAAAGGCCTCCTGTTCAATTAATATTAACCTCAAGGCTGGGGTTAATATTAATACCATGAAGAGGCTCTGTGAATAGCCTGTCATATTGAAGCAGGCCAACTGGTTAGTTCCATGGTCTGGACTTGGTAGGGTGCCAACATGAGATGGTTTGGGTTTTTTCCAGCCACTGCCTTTAACAATGCACTGCCTAATCTTCCTTTCCCATCCAGTAATGGCGTGTTGGGCCAGTTCAGTCTAATTCAAAGGCCCATCTCACCTCTCTCCCACCTTCACCCTCACTCTGGCTCCAGCTTCACCCATGGCTGGTGAGTGCTCCTCCATGTCTCCTCCTGTGCCCCTTCTGGTTTTAGCTCCTCTAGGGTTGGGGAGGAAGGATGGTTTAAGGAAATGGACAATGTGTTTTTGTTCACTAGCTATAGTATTTTTTTGCATCACTTCTTTTTAACTAGTGATATACAAGTCCCAGGTTTAAAAAGACCGGGGAATAGCATTGAACGAGCTCTTAGATTCAGCAAAACTCTACCTTGCACATAGTCTCATGGCCACTGAGACCCTCTTCCCACCTTGGGGAAGTGGAGTGCCACGTTGAAATGCTTTGCATCTGTGCCAGTAGCCAGATCACTAAATAGACCGAGATTTAATTTTATCTTATGGTATGTGTATGTGTGTGTGCACATACGTGTATGTATGTGCACATGTTCTCTTTCCACTGACCACAGTACACCTGAGAAGGCACAGTTGTGCCCCTCACATCTCATACAGGCACTGCATAGAGGATGGATTTTGAAAGAAACATTGACAATAAGATAATGGTGACTGGAACATGCCTGGGCCAGTCATGGGGAGGAGGTGGTGGACTGGACAGTCTGCTACATGAGATTCTTGGGTCTGAAAAAGAAGTTAGGGTGGTGGCATATCAGTGAAATCCACTGGCGTTCCCCTCACTCCTTTCAATTTGGACCAGTGAATAACTAGAGAAGGTAAGAGATGAGGCTTGGGTGGCCTCAGGGTCTTGGTTTCTCTTTAATATTCTAGTAAAGGAGGTGGAGATCATAGAGGATCTACAAAGTAATCTAAAATCCTGCAGGAAGGAGCAGCCTGGGATGGGGGCTGTAACCCAGGTGTTCTGGGGTCATCCTGAAACTCATCATGTGGTATCATAATATTCTGGATGGGACAGGCCCCAGAGACACTCCTTCCTCAGCTTCTGCTAGACTGAGAGGCCCTGTGACCTTCTGGGCAAAAACTGGATACATGTTCAGCTTTTTTTTTTTTTTTTTTTTTTGAGACAGGATCTCCTCTATTGCCCAGGCTAGAGTGCAGTGGCGCAATCATAGCTCACTTCAACCTCAAACTCCTGGGCTTCAGCAATTCTCCTGCTTCAGCCTTCCAAGTAGCTGGGACTATAGGCATGTACCACTACTCCTAGCTAATTTTTCTATTTTTTGTGGAGATGGAGTCTCAATATGTTACCCAGGCTGGTCTCCAACTCCTGGCCTCAAGCTATCCCACATTGGCCTACCAAAAGGCTAGGATTATAGGAGTGAGCCGCCATGTCCTGCCATGTTCAGCTTTTAAGCAATGT